TGTCTAAAAATATTATTCATGAATGATCTATGATAAAAGAATATCTAGGATGCAATTCAAGAGTGAGATAATGTCTCTTTTTTCTTTCTTAACAGAAAGACTAACAGAAGTCACAATTCCTGTATAGTAATTGTCAATAATTCGCAAGCAAGGTTACAGAATGTTAAGAGGCAAGCCAGAAGAACAAGTAAAATACTAATGACTTTTCAATAATCAAATTTGAGAAACCACTAGAGATATTCTCTAGTCAAGGTAATATAATAGCTTCAACAAAAAAAGATACTCAAACCTGATTCTCAAATTTTATAAATGAAGCATCTTTGCTCTGGGTATCTTTGTCCCTGAATGAACAAATAAAGAATGTGCCTTGATCATAAAATAAAAGAAAGATAAACCTCAAAATATGAGTAAAGCATCACAAATGGCAGTCTATAAGAAAGTTGCTGCAGGTGAAATTATCTGCGTAGCACGAACCATGATGCAATTTGCTAACTTAATCATCATGGTGATTATAATCAAAAGATGTTAGGAAAATCTATTGTACAAAACTGAAAACAAGTGAGGCCTGCACTGATATGATTACTAAGTTGACATAAAGATGTACATCACATTGCATATCAACTCATGAACAACACAAATTTGATATGAAAGAAAAACTGAATCTGGTTAGCATCAAATAAAACTATGTAGCAAAATTCCTATTCAATAAAGCTAGACAAGGATGGACATGATACATAGGAAGAACTGTAGAGTTTACTAATGATAGAAAGATATATTTTCTGAATTTCATCATTCAATGACAGCCAAAGCAATAATATACCACTAGATTCTAGACCTCTAGAAATGCATACTTAGAGCAACCATAGAACTATTAGCTGCATCATGTTCAACGGGAGAAATAGAAACATATTTTCGATAAGTGTAACAGCATGAGCTAATTGTGCAAATTCTTCAAGTGATTCATCAACAGCAAATGAATTATATATTCAGTGCCTTTACATTCAACTCCAACAAGGTAGGCTTCCTCTAGACAAACCTATATTCTTAATATGAAAATTCTTTAGTTTTAAAATGATGACAAAATGATCTAAATATCAGTTTGAAATATATTTTGTCAGAAAAGTGCAAAGTGAAAAACACACAAATAAAAGAGAAAAACCAAAGGCTAAAGAAATTGAAATGTGTCTAAAAATATTATTCATGAATGATCTGTGATAAAAGAATATCTAGGATGCAATTCAAGAGTGAGATAATGTCTCTTTTTTCTTTCTTAACAGAAAGACTGACATAAGTCACAATTCCTATATAGTAATTGTCAAGGTTTGCTGTACCGTACTATACCGGCGTTTCGACCCGGGCTCGGTATGGTACGGTACCGGTGTACCGGGTGGTACATCAGGGTGTACCGAGCGGTACGCCCTGGTGCATCGAATATTTTTTTATTTTTTATACTGTAGCACTGTAGTAGTGCTACACTATAGTACTGTAGCACTGTAGTGGTACCGGACAGTCCGCGTACCGATAACCTATCGGACCGGTACATACCGCCCGGTACGGGGCGGTACACTTCAGTACGGCAGACCTTGGTAATTGTCAATAATTCACAAGCAAGATTTCAAAATGTTAAGAGGCAAGCCAAAAGAGCAAGTAAAAAACTAGACTTTTCAATAATCAAATTTGAGAAACCACTAGAGATATTCTCTAGTAAAGGGCTAATATAATAGCTTCAACAAAAAAAGATACTCAAACCTGATTCTCAAATTCTAATAAGTGAAGCATCAATGCTCCGGGTCTCTTTCTCCCTGAATGTACAAAAAAAAGAATGTGTCTTGATCATAAAATAAAAGAAAGATAAGCCTCAACATATGACTAAAGTATCACAAATGGCGGTCTATAAGAAAGTTGTTGCAAGTGAAATTATCTACGATGTTAGGAAAATCTAAAGCATCACAAATCTAAAACAGTTAACAAATGCTTGATTTGTGAAACTTAATCATCACGGTGATTGTAATCAAAAGATGTTAGGCAAATCTATTGTACAAAACTGAAAACAAATGGGGCCTGCACTGATATGATTACCAAGTTGACAAAAAGAAGTACACATCATGTTGCATATCAACTCATGAACAACATAAAATTTGATATGAAAGAAAAACTGAATATGGTTAGCATTAAGTAACTATGTAGCAAAATTCCTAATCAATAAAGCTAGACAAGGATGGACATGACAGATAGGAAGAACCGTGGAGTTTTCTAATGCTCCAATTTGAGCTCAATCAAACAGGAAATACTGGACCTGATGCCACTTTTGATTTCAGATATGAGATTAGCTTTGTTAGGTTGAAAATCTTCAAGCCAAACTAACTAGAATGGTCAAAGCCACATAACTGGGCCAAAATAAGCATGTCAATTAAATGACTCAAAAAAACAATCACTTAAATGTTTCAACTAGAATTATCATGTCAATTTAAACCTTTTACATATGTGATATTAGGAATTAAAATCAATAATCACAACAGCTGCTGATAGCTTATTCTCCTTAAATAAACAGGTAAGGTGGAATGAAGAAATACCAATTCAGAGGTCAGTTTTATACTCACAAGTAGCAGATTCAAACTACAGCACGTGGATGATGAAACTCGTGATAGATGACTGCAACAGCATAATTCAAAATACTGAAACAGTAGCCATGTCATTAGTTGGTGAGCATTTGTATGAAACTTAGCAAGCTTCTCTAACAATCTCATGAAGATTGCTACTAGTCTGCTACAATGCAACAGCTAATCAGTAAGAAAAATCCTGCAGACCGAAATAATCACAAATTAGAACGTTCAGACTCAATGAAGATCTTTTTATTACTATAATCTAGAAGGACCAGAATGACACTATTACTATAATCAAGCATTTGTTAACTGTTGGTATAGTAAGCTAATTTCCACATTTTAGAACTTGCATAATATCCTATTTGACTCCATTTGTCAGGCTCTATCTTGAAACCAGCAGAAGACAGTCTATTAATGGAAGCCATGAGCCTCTGTTTATATCACAGAAAAAAAACGTAATAAACAGAACCATAATGCCTCATCTTTAACAAACTCATAAAATTATTTGTTTGATATCTCTTTACTATTAAATATTCAATTTGGTTTGCAGTTCTTATAGGTCTGATGACTGCATTCTACAGAAATTATGACACATCCTATTAAAATTAAAATATTTTAAACTTGAATTTCATTCTTGAACTTATATCTTACTTGGAAGTTATTCACTATATAGTAACATATTGAAACCATTTAAGATTCAAAATTATACACTTTATAACCAGTTTTTTCAACAGCAAGAAAAGTCTGAAATTCTGGAAGCTACATTAAAATCATAAGAAACCTCAACTCAGCAGAAACAAAAAAAATATATAAACAGCTACCTCGTTGGTCTAATTATGCATAATTAGCATAAACAAACAAAGAATAAGATCAACATGAAGATTCTCAAATTTAAAGAAGGAAAAAAACAATTTATATAAAAATACAGAACTATAATAGTAGAATGTAACATGGTTAAAAATATTAAAACTAGGACACATAAAATATAGCAACAATGATGTAGTGGTTATAGATTGCATGTCGATATGGCAAAGGTTATAACAAATATATGTGCAAAGCTGAAAGAAAAATTGGATACAAAAATCAGACTTGTAGTTGCATCCACATAGACTCGTTGTAAATAGACCCAAAATGCTGTAAAAATTAAAGCATGGTTCTAAATTTTTCATCTTAGGCACTTGCAGTCATATCTAAAGATCACAAATATATAATGCTTGTATGAAAATATGTTGCCTCTTTGATGCCACAAACTTCTCTATGCAATGCTACCAGCAATGGATTTTCTTCTCAAGCACTAGAGAAGTCTTCTGTATTATTCTCATAATCTTTTCCAACCATCAGCATTTTCATCTAGTACTTGAGAAGTCAACATGAAGATTCTCAAATTTAAAGAAGGAAGAATTAACAAATCACCTAAAAACATACAACAAGAATGCAACATGGATAAAAATATTAAAACTATAACACATAAAATATAGCAACAATAATGTAGTGCTTATAGATTGCATGTGTCATCAATATGGTAAAGGTTATACCCAAGATATATACAAAGCTGAAAGAAAAATTGGATATAAAAATCAAACTTGCAGCTGCAACCACATTGGTTTGTTATATAATAAACCTATTAAAATGCTGTAAAAATTAAAGCATGGTTGTAAATTTCTTACTTAACTTAGGCGCTTGCACTCGTATCTGAAGATCTTAAATGTATGATGCTTGTATGAAAATATGTTGCCTCTTTGATGCCACAAACTTCTCTATGCAATGCTATCAACAATGGATCTTCTTGTCAAGCACTAAAA